TGTCTGTCTGTCTGCTGGCCATCGTCTGTCTGCACTTACCTGGGTGTCTCACTACCTGAGAAGAGTCAGTGAATTAAGATCTCTCCCAGGCTGGGCCACCCCTGCCCTTCCCCCCACGGCAGGCCCCGCCCCCTCCCGCATCCTTGGCCTCTGGGGTCGAGGCCAAAAGTGTTGTAGGCTTCTGATTCACCCTGATTCCTGGGCAGTGGAGGAGGGGCTGAGCACAGCAAGCAGACACTGGCTGGGGGGGGGGGGCATGGCAAGTGGCTTCCTTCCCAGTGGAGTCATAGGAGCCAAATTCAAATCCAAGCACTACCACTTCCTGTCTGGGAGACCTTGGGCATTCTCTGCCCCTCTCTGAGCCTCAGTTTCCTCTACTGTAAGGTGACCTCTCAGGTCCCTTCCAGCCCTAAATCTATAGTCAGATAATTCTGCCTAGGGCGGTTAGCCCTGAGGTTCCGTGGCAGCTGGACCCAGCCATAGATGCTCCAGGACAGCCATGACATCCATCACTTCTTTCCCTTTCTATGGAGGGGAAAAGAGGCCCAGCAGAGGGGGAGGGGGGAGGCTGTAGTCAGAGAGTCACAGGCTCTGGCCAGGCCAGCCTTGGCTTCCTGCCTCAGCTTGGGGGAATGGGCTGCCCCACGAGGCAGGGGGTCCTCCATTGCAAGAATTCTCTGGGCTGAGTCCAGATGAGTTCATTGCCAAAGGGATGCCCGTTCTAGCCCCAGACTGCCCTTCGGGGCCTCTGGACCAGACACCTGACTGATCCCCCGGGGCAGGCAGGGAGGGCTTTGTCCAAGCCTAATTGAGGCAAAAGCCAGAGGGTCTGGGATGGGCAGAGGGCCCGAGGGAGAGTGAGGAACTTCTCCATCCTTTGGACTTCTGTTTCCCTAGAAACTACAATGTCAGTTTGAAGTCCTGGTGGTTCCCTGGACACGTCAGACCAGGGTTCAGAAAATTTCATGTTCACGGGTCTAAGAAGGCCCTGGCTTGCCCCAGCGTGCACAGGCCAGCTCTGCAGAGAAAGGCTGGGGCAGACTGGAGATGGACGGATCTTCCGAGGGCCCTGATGATTGAACAGCGCCCATGTTTGTCTGAATAAATTGATAAATCGATTGCTTTCTCGGCTCACTTCTCCCAGCTCCACTGAGACCCCCCCAGGCTGGGGCCTGGGGGGAGGGGGATGGGGACAGGTCTCTCCCAGGAAATGTTAACATTTAGAGCTGACTTTGTGCCAGATTGAGTGCTGGGGCTCCAATCAAAGGTTAAAACAGCCGGCTTGCAATGAGTGTGCATTCTGATGGAAGAGGGGATCAAGGGAGACCTATTTCCCCTGGCCCCATCCTCCAGGCCCAGAGCAGCTGAATCTCATCCTCCATTTCCCTTGGAGAATTTTGCTGCTGCTTTGTGATACGGGCTAGACACAAGCCCTCGGCAGATAGGGATTGTTATGCCTTCATGGGTGGGGGGATGGGGGATGGGAAAAATTCCCTGGTCAAGAATCACTTCTCTCCCTTTCACCCATATCTGCCCTGCCTAGACATCTGGACACATATACACACCTAGAGACAGACACACGTACACATACATATGTAACCGCAGAACCCATGGGGCAAAGAAATGTTTCCTGGGAATAGGAAATACCGGCCCAGCTGGGGCAACCCAAAGCAGAATTTGGAAATGGGTGCATGGTGGGTAGGCTCTCTCCCATCAGATTCCTGTGGCCAGCCTCCTCTGAACCTGGCCCCGCCCCCTCCAGCAGTGACTTTGGGCTGCCCAAAGCCAAGGATGCTGGAGCACTCAGTGTCTAGCTTTGTCTAGCTCCAAGGGCATCTCCCCTAAAATCTCCTGAGGGTACTTCTCCCCCAATTCACTATGGTGGTCATTGCTGGTTTCATCACTGACCTCCAGGAACAGGGCTCTAATGGTGGAATTCTAGGCAGAGATAGTTTGGCACAGGAGACTTCTCAGAGCTTTCTAGGCCCAATCACAGAGCATTGGGAGGAGAGCTCCAGGATGCACGTGGGGAGCCCCTAAAACAAGGAGCTGTGGCCAGTGGAGGTGGGGGCATCCTGTGATGGGGGCCCACCTCGATTCTGGTACTCTCTCTCCCCTGAAGCCTTTCCTGCTCCCCAGGTGAATGTCTTCTTTCTCAGATTTCTGCTAGCATCCTGCCTTTTCATCCCACTTATTCCTCTCTGTTTTCCTTTATTCCTCCTTGTATCCTACAACTCTGATTTGTAAACTTCCTGGTCTCATCCTGAGATTCCAAGCTGAAAAAGCTCTCATTTCTTTTTAATATTCTCCTACCTAAGTGTAGGACCCAGTATACAGCAGGTGCTTAATAAGCCCTCACTGAATTGGATCAAACAAAAGCCATTCAAAGTTATAGGCTCATAGGTTATCAACCTGGGACCCTAGAAGGGAGGCCATTCAACCAATTAAGAAGCATTTATTAAGTGCCTGTTATGTTTCATGGATAAAAAAAACCGTGGCCGAGGTCCCACGGCAACAGAGTAGATGACCCGAGTAGATACGTCAGCTGCTAAATGCCAACTGCATTGCTGGCCTGATTCCTCCCTCCACTCCCAGCCCAGTGACCCCCTTTCAGTCTCCTCTCCAGCATTCCGCCATGCCAGGGCCATGCCCGAGATCCAGTTTACCATCCTTTACTGGCCACCACTGTGTATGTCACACCTGGCACAGGTCATCTGCAGGGTAGAAATGTCTATGGGTGGGGCCTCTGCCCCAGTGGAAACCGACTCAAGGCTGGGCCCTTGGAGAGGAGTGGGGGCCTAGCTGTTTGCATCATCGGCTTCTCTGGGCATCAAGTAGAGAATGGAATTCAGCACACTTGCCTGGCCTGGTGACAAGTGACTCGGGCCCAGGTGACACCTGGCCCTTGGGCATTATCTTGAGTAACCAGGGTTCTGAAGATATGGGACCTAGTCCTCCCTGGCTCCCTGGTCCTGGGAGAGTTGGGGGCAATCGCCCTCTGTATGTGGGGGTTCCTCCCCTCCTGGTTTATCAGGTAGGTTCAGGGCACACTGACTGCTCTGGGCAGCTTCCAAGGCTCCAAAGGGGAGGATGGGCCTTGGGCCTTCCTCAGCTTCCACTCCTTTTTGGCCCTCAGGCTGCCTGCCTGAGTTACCTCCCAGCTGCCAAGGAGCAGATGCTCAGCTCCAGCCATGGTCCATCACAGGCTGACCCGACTCCCCCAGACGCCCCTTAAAGAACTCCTAGGAGACCTCCCTCCCTCCTGTCCACAACGGCCCATTTCACCTGGGAGACTCCTGTTCCTCCCGTGGCTGGATAGAGGACAAGGCCTGTTGCCGTCAGGAGGACCCACATTCAAGTCTGGCCTCAGACGCTTTCTAGCTGTGGGACCCTAGGCAAGTCCCTTCACCTCTCTGCCTCAGTTTCCTCATCTGTCAAATGGGGATAGTAATGGCAGCGGCCTCCCAGGTTTGTTGCGGGGCTCCACTGAGAACAGTCACAAACCTCCAAGTCTCTTAAAAGCCAGCTTTTCCCCAGCCGCTCTTGTCTCCGGCCTCTGGAGCCTTGGCTATGGACTGCCCAGGCCCCCTGCTGGAGAAGCAAGCCAAGCTGGGGTCCCATCGCCTGGCAGACGCCTCTGGGGGGCTCTCCAGTGTCTCCCACCAACCCCACTGCATCCCCAGCCAGTAAGGAGACAAGAGGTTAGAAACAGACTTCAGGACTCTATTAGAGGGTGGGCTCTCTGGCAGCCCCAGCCCCATATCTGTCCCCAAGGCCAGGCAGGCCTGGCCTGTCGCTTCTTCCGGTCACTTGGTGACTTCTCTTCACTTCTTGAAATCTTCTTCTCCGGCCTGAGAGGAAGGGGGGGGTGTCAGGAGGAGCCCACCCCTCACCCCCACCTGGGTCCCCTGTCTCCCCCCACCCCCACCACTGCCTGGGTCCCCCGTCTCCCCCCACCCCCACCTGGGTCCTCCACCTCCCCCGGCACGACACCACCTGGGCCTGGGCTCCTTCCTTCTAAGGAACATGGCCCCAGCATACGTCCCCAGCTCACCTCAAACACAGTGTCAATGATCTCATCGATGACAGCCGCCTGTGAGCGGAACACTTGCTGGTGATGCTCCACGGCCGCCATCAGCTGGAGATAGTGGAACATTTTGTCCTGCTGTCTGGGAGAGAGGGACACAGGTAGCCCTCAGTAGAGCAGGCCCTACACCCATGTCTCTGGGGAAGCCACCAGCTGCTGGGTGACCTCAGCTAAAGCCTGGCCCTCCCAGCTCTGATATTCTCTGTTCTCTGTTCTCAGGGCCCTCCCAGCTCTGACATTCTCTGCTCTCAGGGCCCTCCCACCTCTGACATTCTCTGTTCTCAAGGCCCTCCCAGCTCTGACATTCTCTGTTCTCA